CTTGTCCCAGAGGGGCATGGGGAGGGTGAACAGTGATCTCCCACCTCTCTGCAGCCAGTGGCCTGTGCTCCCCAATGCCAAGCTGGAACCTCCACATTTATTTGACAAATAAAATTTGCAGAATTTTAAAATACTGTGTGCAGAGTTTTTATATTTCTGGTGCAGAATTTTTAATTTTTTTGGCACAGAATGTAATATTGGAGTAATATTGCTCAATCTGTGAAATTCCAAATGTGGGCCAGAGACCCAAAATGAGGAGCAAGATTTCAGAAGTATTAGGACCAAGCAAATTTAATTTCTTCAGCATAAAATTCTTCATACTCTGTGTTCTCACTCATTTAAAATCAATACCATGGAACTGAGTGTGGAATGAGGAGCAGCTTACCCAAAGTGATAAAGGCCTTATGAGGAACAATGAAATTTGAAAATGGGTACTAGCAAAAAAAGGACATAACAAAAGGGCCACAAAGGGAATCATACCTTCTGAGAAACTTGGCTGAGAAGCAACTCTGTGTGACACACCTTGTTGTTGGCTTTCTTTAATTCTAACCTCAAATCTGCAATCATATTCCTACAGTCCTTCAGCTTGGTCTGTTCAAATAGAGAGCAAGAGGCTTAAGGTTCTGAAACTGTACTACAAACCTAGCAAAATACACATTTGGCAGGATGGCCAGCATTCCTCCCACACAGCATAATCAGCTGTTACAGAGTAAACACTAAAAATGATCATCATCTACGGACTAGTTAAAGGCATGCAATTTGCCATTTCAAAGCAAAATAAAACAAAGCCACAAAGAATGGAATCAACTTAGATGAATTTTTAACTGCATGTTGTCTTATCTGGATTGAAATGAGAGGTTTAATATACTTAAGAGCCATTTCGTGCCAGATCATTAGGGGGGTTATTTTTAAAGCTACGTTATCTGTTCACTATAGCTTTTCAATGCTATGTTTCATACCTGCAATTCCTGGCTCTGGTTGTAGAATTCTTCCCTGTCATGTTGCAGCTGTCGGATCTGGCTGTGAAGCTGAGCCACTATATTATCATGTTCTTCCTGAAATTGGTGGTATCTGGCCTGCTCTTTCTGCAGACTAAGCTTCAAGGAGTGGATATCTTTCTCCTGTAGTTTCAGCTGATCTTTCTGTCCGGAACCATATACCAAAAGTCAGATGACCAAATTTGCTATTTCAGCTAGTACATCAGAGACCCCTACCCCAAGTCAACCACCAAATAAAGGATCAAAAACAAAACCCACTAATAGTACAGTCTTCAAACTTGGCTATGTTACAGCACTTTAGTATGTTCCTCATATAAAAAGTGTTTTTTTGGTTTTTTAAAGAAATGGTTAAAGGTGCCAGGCTGAACATACTGGAAACTGAAATTACATCCACAAAATATGGTCAGCAGTTATGTATGTTCCTCCACATCACCCTGTGCTCCAGTGGTGACCTAAAGGGACAGCCTCAAGGAAGAGAGGGTAGTTCCATTTCCAATAATTACTTAGTTCTTAGCCTCTTTGCTGTGACTGCAACAAAGATCCCAATTTACATGACAGCTTTTATAATGTGGACATAAGAATTCAAACAAGATTAAAGTTATTTCACATGGACTCCACACCACTAAGTTTTCATCACTAATCAGGGCCAATTCAGAGACTCTGAAAGAGAGAACACACTTGAAATACTTAGCTTTCCGCCAGCATTCCTCCTCCTCAAATGGAAAGCATGTACCTCTTCAGGAAACTTAACAAGGTTACTAGCCTAATGTTAAGACTGCCCAAATGTTAAGCAAGCACAACATTAACTGTTAAATCACAACATCTTTCTAAGCTAAGTTTGGCAGTTATTTAAGCCAGTTGGCTTCTTCATGTATGTGTTCAGTTCAATGCCCTTTACAGTAAATTTCCAGTTTCAACTAATCACAATGCATCAAAATTATCCACAATCCATTCCACAAAAATTGGAGTGTTCGAAGGTTACTTTAAAAGCAACAACAAAAAAACTTCAATAATAAATACTTTAAAAGATTTTAAAGTTCTATGATACTATAGTAGATGTTGTCTGGGGCTGGTATTCATAGATTTGATAGTGATGTATTGGTAGCACTTCTTGGCATGCACAGCTCTTAAATCCTTGCTCACCATGGCAGCATTATGTTCCTCCAGTGCTGTTGCTTTGATCACTTTCCGCAGGAGTCGCCGGTTCCGAAGGGCATGTTGTTGCCTTTTGAAGCGCTCATACAATAACTGGTTGTGTAGCAAAAGCAGCTGGTTACGCAGGGTGTGAATCTCATCTGAAGGGGGAGAACCTAGACAGAGTTAAATGACAGAGCAAAGGTTACTGTTAAATATATTTGATTCTATTACATACATTCACATTTACATCCTCATTCTATCCCCCTCTACTTTTCCAGGGTTATTTTTTAACTGCAAAACTGAATGGAAAAAATTAGGAATTTAAATAAAAGGTATCAAAACTTTACATGTTCAAAGCTTTATACAGTCTTGAATCCTCATCATACCCACAGTTCATAGGTACCAATTTAGTATTTACCTTTTACAGATGGGGGTAAAATTTTCTAGAATGCTTAGATGGCTTAGCCCTGGTCTATGGGGGCGGGCAGGGGGAGAGAGAAGGGGATTGATCTAAGTTACACAACTTCAGTTACGTGAATAAGATCGTACTTAGATCGACTTACCGTGGTGTCTTCATCACGGTGAGTCGACTGCTGCCGCTCCCCCATCGATTCTGCCTGCACCTCTCGCGGTGGTGTACAGGAGTTGACGGGAGAGCGCTCGGGGGTCCATTTATCATGTCTAGACTAGACGCGATAAATCGACTCCCGCTGGATCGATCTCTGCCCACCGATCCAGCGGGTAGTGTAGACATACCCTTAGAAACTTTCGAAAATGTGACCGAGATTATGTCTACACTACAAAGTAAAAAAAACAAAAAAAAACCAACTCATGGCACCAGGTCTCAGAGCCTGGGTCAACTGACTTGGGCTTGCAGGACTCAGGCTGCCGGACTAAAAATTGCAGTGTAGACCCACTCAGGCTGAAGCCTAGGCTCTAAGACCCTCCCCCCTTGCCAGATTTCAGAGCCCAGGCTCTAGCCTGAGGGGTAAATGTCTATACTGCTATTTTTAACCCTGCAACCCAAGCCAACTGACCTGGGTTCTGAGACTGGGCTCCACGTTTTTTTCTTTGCAGTGTAGACCTAGCCTAAGCTACCTAAGTGCCACTGACTTCCAGTGCTACCTAAGACACTTTTGAAAGTTTTACCCACAGAATTTGAAAGAACTAGTTTCCACAAAGTTACACAGCAAATCAGTGACAGAACCAGCATTAAAATTAGAATTTAGGACCTTCCAATTTCTAAGCCTGTGGCTCAATTCCTCCAACCTACACAGCCTTCATAATTATAAAAAAAATACAACAACCCATTTGAAGCCTGAAACTGAAGTCTGTTTCCCTGCCAACATTTTCTCCTACATTACATGTTTTTGTCACGAGCAACCTGCTCATGAGGGCTGTCTTGTGGCTTACATGATTATTTTTGGAAAAGAGTAATGAGAAATTGTAGGACATGGCTTTTACTGCATCAGCTAAAAGTGATAAGTTTGGGATTAGCCTCAAGCCATTTAAAAATGTCAATTTTAAATATTCAGGAGAGGATGTCTTCCAAAGCGCCATTGGAAAGATTTTAGACAGACCAATTTCACACTCCTTTGTTATTTCACCATCCTACCTTAGTAAGACAGATTTATCTAAAAGCATTCCTAAGCACTGACAACATTTAAAAGTTTTCTAACAGTGTACAGGGTAGGTTTTTGATTGACAAAACTGTGCTTAAGTCAGTTATGACTTAAGTGGAGCTTCCAGATGCTTCAGGTGAAGAAAGAGAAGGGACATATTTGAATTAAGGGAACCAGACCAATGTGTCCAAAAATGACTTCTGTCCTAAAACCCCTCTGCCTCCTAGTTATATGGATTTTTAAACTGGCTAATTTTTTTAAATCTCCCCAGAGGCGTAAAGATCACCAACACGGAAGTTAAAAGGAAGCCTAAGATGACAAAACTGTGAGATATATGTTAAATGGTGAGGAAAGATTTCAGTTTTAGGCTCTCTGAGTTATGATCAGTTGGGGGTGGAGAGGGGGGAATATTTAAATAGTTCTTTAAACCAGGTGGAATTCAGCTTTAAAACTGAAGGGTCATTCACCTCAGGAGTATTCGTTTCTACATAGGTGGCAATAAAAACAAAACCATAAAAGAGAATAAGTGTCCCTTTGAAGAAGGCCAGTACATGCAACTGTAGATTTGATAATGGGCATGAGTACCACTGCAATTTAGTGGGGGGAAAAGCACAGTAATATTCTTGGTTCTGTAGGAAAGGTAATTATCACTTTCCAAAGAAAAAGAAACTTGTAATGTTGAAACAGAAAGGTGCATCATCTCCTGAACAGATAAACTACATCTTAATGATGGTCACCATCCAACTTCAGCGTGTGAAAAGAAAGAAGCCAAATATGCAGTTCATCATTTAAGTAAACCAAGTAGAAGAAGATACAAAGAAATGCATTTTTTACTGATTGTGGACTACATTTATGGTCCTAAACCAAGAAAAACTTGTTTACCTCCAAAGTGAGTCCAGTCAGCAGATTTGCTTGGCAGAGGCAATCTAGAAATAAAAACACAGTATTAACAGTTTACACATTGTAAGTGAACACTTTACAAGACAGACTGAAATACAGTCCCTGTCCCTAAGGCTTTGTAATCTAACAAATGAAACATCATACTAGAGAATAATTCAGGTGAGAGGGTGTAAAGATCACTACAAAAAGTGGGCTTTAAGGAGGAATTTGAAAGACAGCAAGGGTGCTTGGTAGACAGAAAGGGAGAAACTGTCCCAAGTGTAAAAAGCAGCTTGAGAAAGGGGAGAAGCAGGAAGTAGGATAAGGAGATGAAGGGAGTGCATAATAGGAAATAAAAACAGACATGGATGTATCCATATACGACTCTCCCTTCTTACACCTTGGCCCAAACAAGTTTTTCCAGTTCCTGACTTTCATACTGGGGGAAGGAATTGCTATGCTTCTCCTGGCCACTAGACTTCGCCCCGTTACTGGACACCTAACTCTGCCCTCATGAACAACGTTATCTAAGGGCACATCTATACTACAGACTTTAAATTGACACATGTCCACACTACCCTCCTTCTGTCAGTGGTGCACATCCTCCTCTGAAGTGCTTCCACTGACTGAAGGTAGTGTGTGAGAGACAGGCGCGGGGGCTGAGAGCCAAGGCTCTCAGCTCCATGCAGCTCCCCACCAGGAGCAGGGGGACCAGCCACCCCCTAGGATTCTTGACTCTCCGCTGCAAGTGGGGGCAGCTGCTCGGGCTTCTCAGCTCCCTAAGTGGGGAGCCAGGCATGGGCAGCCTGGCTTCCTTGTCAATTTCAGGGCTCCAACATGGAGCCCTGAAATTGACAAGACAGCCAATAACAGTGTCTACACAGACACTGTGTTGCCCTAACTACACGGCAAAACACCTCCACGAGAGGCGTAGGGTGAGTTATGTCGGTGTCGACGGGCACTTTTATATCGGCGGGACAAGGCTGTAGTGTGTACACTGATATAATTAGGTCGACCTAAGCTGACTTATCATGACCTAGCTGTGTCTCAGACAAGCATCCAAGCCACCAGAACTCAGACAAGTATCCAAGCCACATTAGAGACAGGCAGCCAATGGCCCCCACTTCCTCACCATCAGGTTTAACAACACAGCTGAGCTCCATCAGCAAAGGCAGCAAGAGTCCTTAGGTTACTCACAGACTCAGACTTTAAAAGTCAGAAGGAACCATTGTGATCATCTAGTCTGACCTCCTGAAATAGACCCAGAACTTCTGGCTGAGTTACTGAAGTCCTCAAATCATGGTTTTACGTTACAGAGAATTTACCATTTAAACGAGTTTAAAACCGGCAAGTGCCTTATGCCTCATGCTGCAGGGGAAGGAGAAAACCCCCAGGGTCTCTGCCAATCTGACCCAGGGAGAAATACCTCCCAACCCCATATATGGCGATCAGTTAGACCCTGAGCATGTGGGCAAGACCCGCCAGGCAGATATCTGGGAAAGAATTCTCTGTAGTAACTCAGAGCTCTCCCCATCTAGTGTCCCATCTCCACCAGTTGGGGTTTTGTTTTTGTTTTTTGCTACTGTCAGTAGCCAATGGGCCACATGCCATTGTAGGCAATCTCCTCATATCATCCCCTTCATAAACTTTATCAAGCTCAGTCTTGAAGCCAGGTAGGTTTTTTGCCCAGAAGCGTTCCAGAACTTGACTCCTCTGATGATTAGAAAGCTTTGCCTAATTTTGAGCCAAAACTTGTTGATGGCCAGGTTATAGCCATTTGTTCTTGTGTCCACATTGGTGCTTAACTTAAATAACTCCTCTCCTTTCCTGATATTTATTATTCTGATGTATTTATAGAGAGCAATCATATCTCCCCTCAGCCTTCTTTTGGTTAGGCTAAACAAGCCAAGCTCTTTGAGTCTCCTTTTATAAGGTAGGTTTTCCATTCCTCAGATCATCCTAGTAACCTCTCTCTGAACCTGTTCCAATTTGAATTAATCTTTCTTAAACATGGGACACTAGAATTGCACACAGTATTCCAGATGAGATCTGACCAGTGCCTGGTATAATGGTACTAACACTTCCCTGTCTCCACTGGAAATACCTTGCCCTATGCATCCTAGGACTGCATTAGCCTTTTTTAAAACTGTATCACACTGACAGCTCATAGTCATCCTGTGATCAATACACCCAGGTCTCTCTCTTCCTCTGTCACTTTGAACTGATAAGTCCCCAGCTTATAGCAAAAATTCTTGTTGTTGGTCCCTAAATGCATTACCTTGCATTTTGCTCTATTAAATTTCATCCAATTTCTATTACTCCAGTTTACAAAATTATCCAGATTTTGTACGATATTTTGGGTCCTCCTCAGTATTGGCAATACCTCCCAACTTTGTATCATCCACAAATTTTATTAGCGCACACTCACTTTTTGTACCAAAGACAGCAATAAAAATGTTTAATAAAATTGATTCCAAGACCAATCCTGACAGTTCACCTTCCAGTATGACCCGCTGTAGTCATCCTTTTAACCAATTCTTTATCCACCTTTCAATTCTCAAATTAACCCCCATCTGCTCCAATTTGGCTAATAATTTCCCATGTGGAACTGTATCAAATGCCCTACAGAAATCCAGGTAGATTAGATCTACTGCATTTCCTTTGTCTAAAAGTTCAGTTATCTTCTCAAAGGAGGAGATAAGGTTAGTTTGGCATGATCTACCTTTTGTATAATCATATTGTATTTTATCCCAATTGCCATTCACCTCTATGTCCTTAATTACTTTCTCTTTCAAAATTTGTTACAAGACCTTGCATACAATTGAGGTCAAACTAACAGGCCTGTAGTTTCCTGGATCACTTTTTTTCCTTTATTAAAAATAGGAACTATATTAGCAATTCTCCAGTCATAGAGTATGACCCCCGAGTTTACAAATTCATTAAAAATCCTTGTTATTGAGCTTGTAATTTCATGTGTCAGTTCCTTTAATATTCTAGGATGGAGATTATCTGGGCTGCCTGATTTAGTCCCATTAAACTGTTTGAGTTTGACTTCCACCTCAGATGTGGTAAATTCTACCTTCATAAAGACATTTTACTTATGCAGCTAAATGTTAAGCTACCATTCTGGCTAGAAAGTTCACTTTCAAGAACTCATGCATGTCCAGCTAGGAACCCCTGAAGAGATGACTTAACATGAAGCAATTATGCACTTTCAATATAAGGACTACAGAGCCATGTCTGCAGAGCTTCTTGGTTTCCAAGCAAAGCAGCCTTTCAGGCACTGCTACTGATATATGGACTGACAAGGAAAGTGGTAACGAAGTGTTTGCAGAGCAAGGTCTGCAGACACTTACTTGTTGAGCTCCTTGGTATGTGCATCTGCTCCTTGCTGTATCAGTCTATCCAGTACTTCCATTGGAGAGGTGGAAGATGTGCAGTCTTCATCCTGGTTTCCCTTGACTTTCTTTAGCAGCTCCTCAGTCTTCTTGCTAACAAAGAGGTAGGCAGTCTTTGGTAATGCAACCTCAAAAAGGTGCTCATATGAGGGAGGCTGCCCGCTCCCAAACCCCATTCTTCTCTTTGCTGGTACTTTGCAAGGGCTGGGAGTGAGGATACTGGTCTCCATAGAGGATTGGCCTACCCTGTTACCAGCAGGGCTTTCATCAGAGGCTACACAGGGCCTGTCAATGGGAGTAAATGCTTGTTTAGGTGTGTCTCGTGCACCCTCAGGCCCAGATTTGTCCAGAGACGAGGCTAACGGTTCAGAGCTCAGACTGTGTCCTTGAACACTGGAGGCTACTGAATGGGGCTTCCTTTGAGAGGCTGGTAAACTCTCACTTGTGCGGTAAAAAGGAGAGTCAAATCCTCCCCTAGGCACCACAGGCTCAGCATCTGCTGTAGTGATCTCAGAGATCTCTTTTGATATTGCATCTAAGAAAAAAAGAAAAGGCAGTTAGTAGGCAAATAAGCTTTAAAAAATAAGTTTGGTGCTGTGTTAAGACAATCCACCTTTTACCCCCTATACAACACCCCCCCAAAACCAACTCCTGTGAACATTTAGACATCCGTTTACCTGCTACACACTCAGGCTTGCTCTTTGTAACCTGGGATACAAATCCTGTAAACTTTCTTAATGTAAAATTAGAACAGGGTACAATTTCAAAACTGAGGGATGCAAATTAACTCATTGCTTTATGACAGAGAGATGAATTTTTCCAAAGTGTAATTTGAGTTCTTAAAACTTTGGGAAGATTTTTCAAATTGAAATGGACCAGACAAAGTATTTGGGAATATGCACAATAGGATGTAAAGTATTTACCACTATTAAGATAATACAAATAAGAGTAGATTTTATTAAATTGGAAAAGCTAGCTTGTGGGTAAAGCTAGAAATAAAGCAAATAAAATAAACCTGCCTTTCTATACCGGGTGGATAAAAACACCAATTAAATACATTTAAAAATTGGTTTATTTAAATCAGATGTTTTTTTAAATTTAAATACTTAAAATTAAATTTCAAATTGATAACTTATTTTAAGGCCTAAAAACTTATTACAAATTACAATCACTTTAATCAACTACAAAAAATATTCAGCAGTTCATATTTGCTGCTAAGTTTTAGGTAGAAGTCAAACCCCTGAATAATAGTGAAAGTCACTGGATAAACACTTGGAACCAGAGTTTGTGAAAGTGCTAAACCAGCTTTTGACAGCAGTAGCCTCTTTTGCAGGAGCAGAGAGAATCTTTTCTTCATTTCAGTTTTTCAGCTTCCAATCAGTTTCTTAACACTGAAATGAACTAGTTGAATAAAGCAGGAAAGCTTGTTTTCCTCTTCCAATCTATGAATAAAAACTAGGTATGAAAAAACGAGATCTATTAATTCTAAAATCTTGAAAGACATTCTGACCAGAAATCATCAGTTCAATTCATTAACCACAGATAATACTTCATTTAATAAAACTGTTAGTTTTAAATGCAAAGCATGTTTTGATAAGGTTTTTTTTAAATGTATGCAGCACATTTAAGGTAGTTTTATTGAATAAAAAAATTTAATGTTATTTTTGTGCATTTTAACTGAATTTGAATTTCTATCCAAATAGTGCTTTACACAAATCACAAATAAAAGAAATCAATTCAGTAAATAAAAAAATGCATCATTCACCATTTTTTAACAATAAAAAATGTGAAAATTCAGAAACCAAATAAAGGTAAGTTAAGCTATATAGGTACTTAAATATAGGTATATAGATATAGTGTATCCTCCTGGTTATCAAAAAGAAGCACCAAAATCCATGTAAAAAGACTATATTTAGTTACAAATCAACATGTTTTAATGGTTGCCAACCAATGAGAATCAACCTTTCATTAGGAAAGTAATTAAAAAGTATAAAGATGAATTATATATATCCAGCAAGCAGGAAACCTTATTTAAGTCATGATCAAAACTGGTGATTTAAATCAATTTGCTTTGTTTCTAGCATTTTTTTTTAATTTGAGTCTTTGTCAATTAAAGTTTCAAAGAAGATCGATAAATTTGTAAATATATTGTTCAGTTTATCCGTAGAAAAAAAGCCTCTGAATTAAAAAGTCATATACATCTGTAGAAAAAGGGAGACTGACTATACTAAACATGGATAAAGTGCTACATCGTCCCTTAAAGCGCTAATATGAAGAAAATATTGAAAGACACCCTATTAACACAATGCGTGTTAAGACGCATTGAAACTGACCACTGTCTTACTCAAAATAGGGTTTTAAGTGATACATAAACCTTGCAATAGTCCTCTGCATAAGGGTGAATTTTCCGCATAGCAAGTAGGGGTCTGTTTTTATACAAAAAGCAAGTATTTGCTTATCCTCCTATAAGTTTGTTTTTAGAAATTTTAGCAGAAAGAAGTCCTTTTCCTTTTCTGCTAACTACTTCCTAATAAACAATCTGGATTTTTACTTGTGGGGAAAGAAGGCTGTTGTGAATACTGAAATAAGGAGGACAGACTTTAGGATGGAATAATTTTTCAAAGGAATAGTTAGGGGTATGGCAACAATTTTTTTTTTTTTGAAATAATGGCTATCCCTGTTTATGGATCTAAAAAATACAGATATTATGCTGTTTTACAGAATATCAGAAAACTAACAGAACAGGGATGGAAAAAATGCAAGTTAACCCGTAGATATTAAAAACTATATAAATTTTTGGAATAAAATCTTATAGTATCTCTTTTCACTCTCCTTTAAGTGCCTGATCTAAAATCCATTGAAGTCAGTGGAGTCACTCCATTGACTTCAACAGACTTTGGCTCAGGCCCCAAATAAAGTCACTAGAAGAAAATCTAGAATAGTGCCATCTATCCTGGCATGCTAATTAAGGAACATTATAAAGTTTTATTTCAAAATTATCTTGATCAGAAAATTTTATAAAGGGACTATGTAATCATCATGTATTTCAGGGGTGGGTGCACAGAAGTAATTCATTCTTTCCAAATGTAAATGGTAACGTCCTAAAATTAAGATCATTTGATCCCTGATATTAAAATAAATACATTTTCCACTTGGCTGTAAATGGTATTTTTTTTTTTAAACCAATGCAGAAAAGAGTCAACTAGGGACTTATTGGTTGTCTCAAAGTCAGAAATTCTTCCCAGATTAAAAAGAGGAAATACAGCCTTAACACTAGTCACGTAAAGAAGGGTTTACTATTATTTATGTATTTCATTTACTCCTGAAATAATCTGATTTTTACATTGATACATATGTAAACGATAAGGATCACTAACAGGATTCTTGCATAAAAGGAGTAGATTTCAAAAATAGAACAATGTTTAAATGGACCAGGAAGACAAAGCCAATAGGGAGGGTTACAACAATTAAGCAGGGCAGTGTGGTTCAGTATACCTTGACAGCAAAAATTTCTTTCAGGAATTAAGGATATTTCATTCTCATCCAAAATATGTGCAGAGTTGCTGTACATCCAACATGAAGTCTCTTCATTTATGTGGGAAGAGTTGATAAGAAGCAAGGTGAAATTAACTAACTATACATTTATGCCACTTTTGGAACACTTATCAGGAAGAAGCTGGTATTCCCGATAGGTTTCCTGAATCCACACATTTTCTTCTGTCTGCAGTAATTAGTAAAACTCATTTATGTCTGGCTTGATAAAATTAAAACGTCTGAATCAAACTCAGTACCATACTAGCTCGAGGTCTAAATGCATATAAAACCTACATAAGGATACCAAGAGACATTACCTTCTTCTCTGTCCTTCTCAACACTATCTTCATCAGAGGCCAGGCAACCTAAAAATTCTGGAAGATCACTTAAATTTACAGAACTTTTACTGCCAGGCACTTCTGAAGGAAAAAAAAAAAAAGTAAATTGTACAGATGCTATATGTCATCATAAGATTTAACAATACGATATCTTCCACTTCTGCTGAAATAGTCTTCAAACAACATTCTCCATCCCTCTAGATCCTCCCCAAAACAGGAGCGTACCCCATTTCTGCTCCACCCGCAAATCAAAGAGTCCTGAAGTGTTAGGTCACTGGTCCCTCCAGAGACAGCCAATGTGATTTTGAAATGACAAGAAGTGCTACTGCAGAGTGAGATGAGGTAGTCTCCTCCACAGAAGAGAAGTATGTTGTCTGCAGTTCTCCTACCCATGAAAAGGAAGGACAAAGCTTAAGTCTCAAATATGTTTGCACTGCTAGATTTCCAGGCCAGCTCTAAACTCCCTTAAAACACTGATCTTGCTCCAACGAACAGTACTTACCTACAAAAAAAGCTTAACTGAATGAATGCAGTACAAACTAAACCATATGTGACTGAGGAACAGATCAAAAGTCTGAGACAGACGACAGAGATGCACATACTAAGCAATGCAGGGATAGAAACCTTAGCTTCACAGCCCAGTCACAAGTTGGGAATCCAATGGAAAGTCTAGCACAAAAGCCAAATACCAAAAAGTTCAGATACCAGCGTTGCAGGACAACTCCATTGTGGAAAGCCAGTTTTAAATTCCAGTATCTTCTCCACCCTGAAGACATTTCTACAGCAGTTCTTTAGTACCTTAAATGTGGTACCATCAAAGTCCTTTCCCACCCCTTCCAGAGATGTGTGGGTGGGGGAATAGAGGAAATGCAAGTATAAATTCCATTTCCAAGAAGATACGTTTTTTTCCTCAAACATTCTCTACAGATTTTACTACTCCACGTGGAACTAGAAAGGGTTCTCTCAAATGCAGTGATATAGTAACACTGCAGGAGTATGAAAAAATACCAAGTTCTGCTTCCAGAAGCATTTGAGGGGAAAGAGTCTATCCTGAACTGCTGACACAGTGAAGGAACACGCATGGGCAGCCTTATAGATGCATAACACTGCAAGTCATTTTGAAGTTGAGGAATCTAAACATAAGAGAGCTTCCAAAGATCATCCTCAAAGCTTGAGTTTCTCCTTTTTAATCTTTTGCAACCTTCATTTAATTCTGTGTTCCAAACATTAAATATTTAAAATTGTGGAACACTGGGGTGGGGTTAAGGGGCAGCTAAGAAGGCAGTCCATGCAAAGCATTTCTGGAAGTGAATAGTTAACAGGAAACAAATCAAAAGTTTTTATCGTGTGACGTTAAGCTGAATGGTAGCATTAGAGTGGGATTCTGGAACCACTATGGAATGGATGGGGAAAAAATGGAGAAAGGGCAGGGGAGAAGTCATTTGTAACTGGAAACATTTATCCACAAATGAGATCACTGCTTTGGGGTAAGACTATTGAGAGCTGGGAGAAGAGGATGTAGTTTACCCAATGCTTTCTCGCTGTTTATGACATTTTGCTGTCGGGACAGCGAAGGCCTCCCGGGATCCGGTTTGTCCTCCTGGAAGAAAATAAGGATTCTTTGCAACAGACATCTATCACAAAGCAGCCTCTAGTACATGTTCAGCGAGAGGGAATTTTTCCAGACAGATGACTTAAGTGGTACATCAAGTAAAGGACTTCGGAGATAGGCTAACCCAAATATAAATTGCCTGAAATTACAGGCAATTTGTTAGTTTGTGTTAAGGCCCAAACTATACTTTTCATAATTAAATACTTTTGATTTACACACAGACAACCACGACTGAAAAACAGGTTCTCATGAAAAGTTAACCCAGAGACTGAAGCCAGTTTTGCCTGGCAGTTACATTTTGCCTTTACCTTCTTCGGAGGTGTGGCAGCAGCTGAAGGGAGTGAAACATGCACAAAGTCATCTGAAATGCAGGGTGGAGGAGGGGAGGTGGCTGGTGTTCCTAGAGGGGTTCCTTTTCCACCTGCTCAAAAGGCAAAGAAAAGTTTAATCACCATTAAAACTCCATATCCTTCTTAATTTGAGTTAATTTCACATTCATAAAGTTCAAGTGATACACACTTCAAATGATCTGCCATTCAAACCTCACAATTTTCGGTTTCATATGGGACATCCAGTTTTCAAACTTCAGTACTTAACTCGGGGTACCCAGTTCTCTGTATCAGTGTTCATATTAGAACTTAGCTGTGTAAAATGAGTACTTGGATGTCTAAATGCTGATTTGGAGAACTCAAATGCAGAATTGGCTGTTCCCATTTAAGATGCCCATTCAAAAAATTGTATGCTCCATTCAAGTGTGGAGTAATGATATAGTTAAAGACGTCAAAACTTACGAACAGCAAACTACGTAAGAGAATTTTTAGGGGAAAAGCAGTTTAAAGAAGTTCCAAATACACTTAGATTCACCTTTAAAGAGCCTGTATGCAAACCTAAGTATCTACACAGATATTTTTTAACAAAGTATCACTTCTAGACCAAGTTAAAAAACCCATTAAAATGCTAACTCTGAAATGCAGTACATACCAGGTGTGCTAAAATATTTGCTATAAGGCTGTGATGAAGTTTGTGAGGACTCAGACGAGACAATTCCTGGAGAGGTTGGTGGAGTGGTCATACCACAAATTGCAGAGGGGCTCCAGATGGTAACCTGTGTCACAATATAAGCAAATCAATTAGGAATATCTAATAAAAACCTATATGAAATACAAACATCTGGCCCATGCCCAGTGTCAAAACCAAAAAGGTATCAATGAGGATTACATTTAATTCTTTACTATACTAGGTACAGAAGTTATACTAGGAAGCTGCAATGATTGCTCAACTGAAAGCAAATGCACCTATTTCTAAAATATTCAAATCCAATGAGAAGCCAATTTAAGGAGTGAAGAATGAACATCTTTGTAATAGCATGCTGGTGTGCCATGGTTAGATGCGTTACCTGCTGTGGCTCAGTTGACAGCCGCGTAGACTGTGGGCTCAGAATCTGAGGTAGCTGCCCTTGCATTTGTGATAGGGTTAGCCTAGGAGTGGAATAAGGGGTAGAAGTGGAAGTTCCTGGAGTTTAAAAAAAAAGGAACATTCATGTTAGTTTATCAAATCTGATTTAGGTCTTGATGGTCCTTCTTGCAGATATTTAACAGTTTTTATTTAAAAAAAAAAATCAAATCCACTCATCTGTTCTTATACACAATCTGGCTATTGGAGAGCAGATTTATCCTTTTCCATCCATGCAAAATATATAACAACAATTTTAACTGGCTAATGATTTGGGGTGTCTCAGTATTTGAGTGTGCAACCTTAAAGAGGCCTTATTCTCAGAAAGTGCTGAACACTTGACCAGCTAATCACTACTGTCAATTCTGAGTAAATGACAGACCAGGCAACAGGAATGGTATTAGCTCATCATTCAAGGGGAAAAAAAATAGTCACAGCTTTGTGACATTGCTAGAGAATAGTAATATCAGGACTTCATATGCGTGTACAGAATAGGGGAAAAAACAACTTTTCTTTTTGCAAAAGTAGCCTTATAGAACTGGACTCCAAGAAGGGTACATTAGTAAGAACTGTGATTTTTTTGTAACATAGCTGGTCTGCTTCCAGTGGATATTAAAAGTGCCAATTAGCTCTTACCGTAGCTGCTGTGTGTGTCAATATAAGGACTGGCATTGGGGTCAATTTGACGAGGCTGCAAGCATATGCTGACTGACTGTGACACAGAGTAATAGCTGTCTTCATATGAGGCTTCTTTTGGGTCCAGGGAGATTTTGGCACATTCTATCACAACATCATGAGTTTCTAGTCTTTTCCACCTGTAGACAGTTTTTGGAGCCAAAAGAGTAAGTTAGTCTTAAATAAGCTAATTATGATTATAAATCAAGGTTCCTGGACATAATAGGGACTGATTTGTCGGATGGCTCATTTGTGTTCCTGCCAGCTTTGCACAATCCCAGCTGAAACACGATGAGGCACCATACAATTGAGTACCTTGCAATGTTATAGGCAGTTTACAAAGAAATTGCAACTAGATGACTCATAAAAGGTGACTCCAATTTGGCAACATAGCAGCTTTGAAACAGATCTATTTGAACCCAGCAGGGTCTTCTGTGGAGCACTCTGGAAAGGAGGAGCAGCATACGAAGTCTTGAATGGTCCTGAGCTTCAACACATGGAGAGATCAGATCAGCTACCCTCAGATGTTGGGAGTCCAAATTTAGACAAACCAGCAGTGCAGAATCTGAAACTATTTTGCAAGTTGCTATCTGGTATGCCAATTAAGGAGTTTTACTTGTTTTAAGTTTTGGGCATAAATATTCTAATTTCTTTCTTTCACTCTGTACACCTCTTCTCTGTATAACTGAGTAACTAAACTCAGCAGTCAAATTAGAACAGGCCAAGACCTCAGAGGATGGAAGTTCGTTGCATGTTAAAGTATAGTAAGAAAAAACGGGAAGCTATCCATTTAGAAGCTGCTTTGCTTTTGGCCAGAAGATAAAATTTCAAGCAAGACAGTTTATGCAAGATACTAACCCAAAGGGCTTTAACTGACAATTCTGTGCCAATCTAACTCTTTAGAGATGCTGCCCCCCCACCCAAACACAGCTGGGAGAAGCCTGCAAAATTGATCATTGTGATAGTCAATGGGTTCCCATTTAGTAGTGTTTTCCTAGTGGCTCTGAAAGCAGGGGAAGAGCACTATTATGCAGGAACAAGAGTCAATTTCTCCTCTTCAGTTGCTGGGCCTGTGGAGACAAGAGAAAAGCAGCAAGTGGTGCTGCTGCAGGCAAATGGGCCTATTTCTAAAAAAGCTAGTACAGCTGTGGCCACATAAAAACACACCTGTTAAAAGAATTGATCTGTTAACCGAATCAAATTTTCTAGGCACCAAATCAGATACACTGAAGCCATTTTAAATACTTAAATCCTATCAAGCACTTTCAATGAATCAAAGGAAAAAAACCACAATCTTAAAACTTGACCCAGTAAAACAGACATGAGTAACTTATGTCAAATCAAAACGCTCATAGTGAGACTGCAGATTCCTCTTTATTTTGTTAAGGAAAAAGAGCAAATTAGTTGTAGATAGCATTGTTACATCACAGAAATACTAACTGGTTTCTTCCATAACTAAAATATCTTCCTTGGGTATTGTAATTATCCACCCACCAGATACAAAATGAAGTTCAACCCCCAAACAAACCACTGGAAAATGACCTATTCCAACAATTTGTGTGTCCCCACCCCCAACTGTAACCTTGGATGCAGAAACCTTACGTTTTATCTGGGGTACCTTAGAGTATTGATTGCAGAGTATCACTGGCATAGGACTTTTCTGTTGACAGGCACAAATTTCTGTTGTGAGCCTCCTGAAAAAGACCATCTAAAGACTGCTCATTCACAGCCTTTCCTAATAGAGGAGTGAATTTATATACCTTCGTGGGTCCAGTTCATGGTCCTTGGATCCAGTCACTAATTCTGGATGAATTCGTACATGTTCCATCATTGGCTGGAAAAGTGGGGACAAAATAGATAAATATGTATTTAGTGCATCTGGAAAAGCTTTGCACCATATTAAACTCCAAAAAAATGGAACACCAACAAGTAGTTCCAATAGGCCAGGGCTAAAAGTTTAGAGGACAGTTACACAAGTGTGACAGCTAGATTAATTGTTCAGACTTGCTTGTATTTAGAAAGCTGTTCTTGCTTCCACTAAGGTTCCATTCTGCCAGTAATCTGTCATGATCCTGTTTCACTGCACAGTATTCAATCCAATTATATCAATGCAGTAGCGCTGTTTGGCAGATAACTACAATCTTGCAGCTATAAACTACACATTTTTCTTAACTGATATGAACATAAGCTATATTTTACCTTGACCACCTCTTCAAAAGTCTCCAAGTTTTCCTTCATACTGTAGTGAGAGCGTAGAAAGGAGACAAAGTTGCAAGGATACATTCCATAAAGGCGGTGAAAGAGAGCATAAACACTGGCATGGAGATGGACGAGATAGATCTCTGCCACATGACCTGAGGAAAATAGTTGGAGCCTTTTTACATGATTGAATTGGAGGAGAGAAAGAAGAGAAATTCTGCTGATGAGCTCAAAGAAAATTGAGTGTCAGAAGTTAAGAGATAGTGCTTTAAGAATGCCTGTAATGATTCAAGACAAATGAAAGTTTGGAAGTACCAAAGCTTAGCAATGCTTAAGACCATCAGCTGTGTGAAAGGAGAGGCCACACTTGCACGTCACAAGTGTCAATCAGCTCTGAACTAAACAGTAAAATCAGGTATGGAGTATTCATTCAGGCTCTCTTTTATCCTGTGTTTGTACAGTACCTAAGGTCCTCAACTAGGGAGCCTAGGTGCTACAGCAATACACATCATAAATAATCCTTAAAACAAATCCTTACTACTCAGATTGGCTCCTTTGCAGAAGAGTTAATTTTTCAACAATTGTAGTTTGCATGACTGACTGAACACTAAGCAAATCAATAAGGACACCCCTTTCAGCTCAAAGTCAAATAAAAATCTGATAACCACAGGGGAAAAAAATATCACAACTTTGAATTGTGTAACTACTGGCTTGTCTTTCCGGCCTGTAGGAGCAGCTATGATATGAGTCAATGCCAAAATGGCCTTCTAAATCACACCTCTATATACTCAACTATGGCGTTTGTTCACAGGGTCACACAGACAGAAGACATACAACTTCTAGAGTTGTGCCCCAAAATGGCTTATGGATTGTCAGAATGGACTAAGACCAATCAATGTTAAAATGAAAACTCGAATACTACCAGTACTTTAGTGATTACTGGTTCAGAAGCATTGTCAGAAATTCCTGCATCCATAGCTAACACTCATAACTGAGAACCTTCAAACTGGCACCTGGTTCAAGCTAGTTGTTTTCTCTCTCACCTTTCCATCTACTAGACCTAACTGTCCAGCCATATCCTTAGAGCTCTAAGAGTTGCATTCCTGCCATGAAACACTGGAATGCGTTACCTAGGGAGGTGGTGGAGTCTCCTTCCTTGGAGGTTTTTAAGGCCTGGCTTGACAAAGCCCTGGCTGGGATGATTTAGTTGGGAATTGGTCCTGCTTTGAGCAAGGGGTTGGACTAGATGACCTCTTGACGTCCCTTCCAACTCTGATATTCTATGATTCTATGTAGGGGCAGCAGCAGGACTGTTGAACTTAAAGCATCACAGAATCCCTCATTTCAGAGTGTTGTACCAATAAGCGCCATGGTACAAGAGCAAAACCCAGACATTAACTATCAAAGAAAAGGAATAGCTTTTGCGTTTAGTATCTAATTTTCCCCATTTAACTAACCCCAAGAGTCAGAACTGCAGCCCACCACTAGTCTCCCAAGACAGAGTGCTCGCCAGCAGTCAGAGAAATGGTGCTACTGAATCATACTTGCAACAAAGTCACATCTCTCACCTGGATTCTTCAAGCACCAGGATGAGAGACGGCCAAATATACCAAAGAAATCATGAAGGTACATTTTGCCAGACTGTGGAATCATTGGCAGCATGGTTATTAACACTAGGACACCAGTGGTGAGTACTACTACATCTGTGTCAGTCTGCAATGAAGAAAAGTCATATTAGTCAGAATTCAAATGGAAAAGTGTCATTTTTTCATGACGCAGCACTAGTACACAATGGACATCATATATTTACACTCTGACAAGGCTCCTTACTTTAAGGATGCCTGATCTAAACCTACCAAACTTTGGCTCACTATCACACCTGCCCCTTTAATCTTGCAGATCCCCAAGAGAAAGTCAGGGATTCCAGCTACTATCCTGTCTTCCAACGACTGACCTGCTGCCTAAGAATTTGTTGACTTCCTTCAAAGGCAGTCTTTATACCTGTTCCTTATCTGAATGGAGAGAACCACTACCAGTATACCTACCTCTGCCTGTTTAGAACTAAACAGGCTCTGCCTCCAGAGCCCAAGAGATTTGAAATTTGAACCCCACATAGCTGGCAGACGACTAAAACTAGGCCCCAGCTGTCCTCATGTTAACATCTCTTAAATGCGTACAAGCCTCTGTGTGTGCAGCCACACAAGTTAAATAGTAAATCTGTTATAGTAACAAGGCCAAATACATGATAAAAATGAAACCATTTGGACCAGAGTATAATAATCTGTATCTTGAGTTTAAAGCTTCAGTATTAAAACTTGAGGTTAGCTACAATCAGTTTGTCAGATTGCTGAAATACACATCAAAAAACTGAGCACTGCTGAAACAAAATACTGATGTTAGCTGAAGGTACTGTTGCATGGTAAATCTAAGGTAACTGAAGAGGTCCCAAACTGTAAATTCTGTCTGCCTGATGCCTCCAATTTAAAAGAAAAAAAAAAAAGCTTTATGAATAGTGACTCTACTAATGCTAATCTGCTATTATAACTAATTATGCAAATTTCTGTACCTTGTATTCATGTATCTTTGCAAACTTCAATCTATTCTCATAACACTCACGTGAGATACACACAGGGTATATAATTACTAATTTATCAGATGGGGAAACAAAAGTACAGGACAGTTAAGTGACTTGCTCACGTTCTCTCAGCAAGTTAGTGGCACAGGAAGGAAAAGAAACTAGGAGTATTGACTTGCAGTCTTCCTGCTAATCACAAAACACTGTTTTCTCCCTATATTAACTTTAGTGTCTTAATGTTTTACATGTTTTCATAAAGCTAAGGATACAAAGTTGTACAATTTAGGGAAATTCAGTGCTTATAAAACAAGAAACAATCAGACCTAGGGTTGTCAGGGATCCACAGAACATCTACTATGTGGGAAGTGACAGTGTAAGCTTCCTCCACCAGTGTGCTTCAATGGAAATGGAGTACGTACTCACTATTTTGTCAAAATTTTCCTTTCCCCTAACCAATTTATGCAAATGGCACCCAGATATTACAGCAAGGACCCCTTATACCACATACAATAAATACTCAGTGTTGACATAGTTCTTACCTTAAGACACTTAAGTAAAGAAAGCAGGAGAGGTGCTTGAGAAAGTTTATGTTTCCAAGATGGCTGTCGTCTTATCACATGACCCAGCAGTGAGAGAGTATGTAAACGGGTAGCAGCTTTGCCCATATATTCATTAATTTTGTCCAGTAGGTGCTGAAACCGAATTTGGGGGAGGGGGCAGAGGAGTAGAAAATGAAATGAAATGTTACAGAATATTTACAGGTACCTGATGAACAGGAAAGGACACCAATCTGTATGTTTGATAAGTTGCTCTTCTCAGTTATAGGAATTAAATGTGTTTTACAAGTGTCTAGGGAGCCAGATTGAATACAACCCTATGAGTACAACACAGGGATACAGATTAAGTCTCTCTGTGGTGATACTGACAACAAAATGTTGTTCAAAACAGAATTTGTCATTGTGCTTGGAAACACATTCTGCTCCAAAGTATTCAGCCATTGCAGAAAAAACAGCTGTTAGTTTTGCCAAGTGTTCATTTAAAAAATTCCCACGTGCCTGCAGAATCCCTGTATATTCTTGTGCAGCTGCGCTTCCCCCTCCCTTCAATGGGTAACAAATCTAGTAACAGTAATAAGCAGCTGCTGCCGCGAGCTGTAAAGCAATTACATTACAAGTAAAAGATATTAAATATCTGTATGAAAGATCTTCTATGAGCTTTGTAATTTCATCTCTTGTGATCAAGGTGTAAAGTTGATTGCAGTCATGAACCCAGTTTAAGTAATCCATGAAACAAAATGAAGTTTTGTGTTTGAGATTTTTTTTTTTAAACTAACCTACTCTTACTACACAGATAAAACACATCAATTGATTCTACATCAAGGGAAAAGAAGAATTTTAACTGGCCTTCTATTTAGAAGCTTCTCTAATACTAGAGTAACATCTGCCATGCTCCATGTTCTCCAAAAACTAAGTTATTTTACCTTGTCATGAGGCTCTTGCAGTGTGGACAGGATCTGCAATGCCTGCTGAGAATGGTTTTCCAAGTAGTAATCTACTAGCATATTCACAAGCACCGGTCCACGGTCTATCAGTTTGTTGTCAGCAACAAAAAGGAATAGGACAGGTTATAATGAACAAAAATTTTCTATTGTACAAGATTAAAATAATTGCAGAATTGAACAACATTCTTACAAGTGCCTCTAGGAAGTTACCCAGGTTTTTAAAAATGAGACCTCCCAATTACATTCTCCCATCCCCAAGTGTCTTTCTGATTGTCTAGCTTGGTGAGAGAGAGGAAGCAGACCTTTCTAAAAACTGACAACAGGATTTCCTAAAGTGTCCCAAACTAAATGATTAGATGTGTGACACTGACTAAACTTTCATAGAGAGTCTACATCCAGCGTTCCACGCTGCTGGGTGGAGTCTGGCAATCAGTTAGATTCCCTCCTCCGTTCTCCACATGAAGCAAGTTTAGGGGCAAGGGGAGTAATGATGCTGTTCCACACTAAAATGGGTCCACTAATAGCCTTAGGAATGCTCTTGGTGGTAGCAGAAAGCATTCCTAAAGCAAAATGAAGAATGGCATTTCACAAGAGGAAGTCATTGTCTGAAATGAGTAAAGTGGATGAAACACTTTCACTTTTTGGACATACTTGGTAGGAAGGGAGCGTGATATCTACTTACAACCAGGGTGTGCATATTTACTTTAGTACACCACAAAACCCTAGTAACCTTATAAAAGGGTCAAGAAGACAGTCTCAAGGAACCAGGAGTTACAGTTTATCAGACCTTCCAAGAAGTGTCTCTTTTAACCAGAGGAACATAAGGAGCATTAATCCTTGATGCAATCACTGCCTCTGACATAGAGGGTTTCTTCAAAGTAAGTCACATTTGCAGGAGCTAATGAGTAGATTTGATAGGGAACTTCCAACTTTTTGCTTATTTCTATACAAAGCTTCCTCCAACCCTCCAGTTTAACATCTAAGAGGCACATACCAGAGTTGAGGTTATCTTTGAAGACAGCTGTTATATCTTCCTGGACAAGCAGAACTGAAGAATCCAACATAGAGAAGAGCTCACCAATATTTGCTTGCTGGGCCATTCTGTTTACTACTATAGGCTTATGCACGTGTTATGTGAATGTGCAAGTTAAAACTTCTTCAGGTTCCTCATTGGTGCCCCTACCAGACTGGAAAGACAGAGCAGAGTACAGATAACAGAATATATCTCCCTCATTCTCTCTCATCTCAAAGACCTCATCACTGCTCTACTGGTAGCTGCAATATTAGCCTTTTTGACAGTTAAATGCCAAAAAAGTTTGTTAGTGCAGAGTTAAGGCTGCCCAGTGATAGCTTGTACCCTTCCAGAACATGGAGTTCAGCAGAACTCAAACTTCTGAAAATCAGGAAATACAGAGTTAAAGTAAATGCTCAGGCAACCTTAACTCTGCCCCACTAGAGCTGGCAACAGCCAATGGGAATTATATGCAGGCACTCCACCTCTAGTCACAGTGTTAAGTATAGCTGTATTGAATGGTGGAGGAATATACTGGAGCAGTTTGGGAGAGCTGTGATTGAGGAGATCTGGGCCTGAGTCCCCTATGTATATTATCAAAGGAAAGAGGTGCATATGTACCATGAAGCTTCAGTCTACATTATTTCAAATACAGAATTGTGTCGGTTGTATCAGTGGCAGGGCACTGGGGTCTCTTTGCCATGGTTACCGCTAGTAGTGAAGTGGGATACGAGATCAGTCTGTGGATTTAATGATGGGTACAGGAAAGGATAAATTTAGGGGGGTGTCCTGCATTCAAGAGTGCAGGAATTATAAAAGGGTATGAAATCGTTGTTAAATATTTTAAGTGTGATATTGTGTTGGGAGAAGAGGCTCAGTGTTTGAGGACAGGGCAAGGGCAGATTGTCTTTTCACTGTAACGTGGACTGAATGAGAATGTGTGTATCATGGGTGTATTGCTGCATCGCTGAAAGACGGCAAAGTTAAAGTTGCATTGGAATTTACCATGACTCTATATTTCCTGGTTTTCACAAGTCTGAGTTTTGCTGAATTTAATTTTCTCAAAGGGCACAAGCTACCCCCAGGCAACATTAACTTTGCATTAATGACATTTTTTGCCATTTAGTTTCCAAGATTTTAAACAGAAAGAAAAACATTTGTTGGTAGGCGATAGTGGTCATTTAGACAGTTATAGTTCTCACACGGTTTGCAGATGATATGCCGCTGTAACTATGGAATAATCAAAAGACCCTTGGCTGGGCTACACTGGGAACTTACATCACCATAGGTACGTCCCTCATAGGTGTGAAAAATACAAACCACTGAGAGACGTAACTATGCCAATCTAACCCCAGGTATAGAATTCTACTGTCAACCTAGCGCCATCTTCTGTTGACTTAGCTATCACCACTTGTGGAGGTGGATTAACTATACCGATGGAAGACTCCGCCCATCAGCATAGGTAGTGTCAACACTGAAGTGTTACAGCAGCGCAGCTGCACCACTGTAGTGGTTTAAGCGTAAACATATCCCTAGCTTTTATATACTGCATTTCACCAGAAAATCTCAACTTTACAACATTATCCTCATTTTACAGATGGGAAACTGAGGCACGGAGGGGTAAAATGACTTGCCCAAGGTCATCCAGCAGGCCAATAGCAGAGCTAGGAATAGTCCCAGTCAAGCGGTCTTTCCATGAAGCCGCATAGCTGCTATGTGATTTTTCAGTGCTCCTCTCTCATCCTGTATATTTTGTGATAGTGGAATGGAGATAATGATCATGCTTTGAAATATATCCAGTGTATAGTTGCTAACAGAGCTGGTGAGAGAAATCTCATCCATGGTCTATGCCCCCAAACCTTGACAGTTTTATTACATGGTTGTTACAGTAACTTTAAGTACTGAGAGAAGATGTCTCTCTCTTTCCTTCTCCACACCCTGGCCCATTATTCCCCCACAACATGTAGCCCCCCGCCAACATTTCCAGCTCCCCCTCCCTTTCCCATCCTATTAAGCCATTAGTTGACACTGTAGAAGCCATTAATACATACGAAAAATCGTTCCTTGCTCTCTCCTGCCGTATGCTGCTGCATACATGTATCACAGACAGCATCTTACTGAAGGGCGGCAAACTGCCTTGTATATGTAGACAAGCTGCACAGAGCTGGGCCCCTCACTCCCATTACCAGCTGGGACTTCTGCTTCAGCCAGTCTTCCCCTCCCAGGCCGCAAATTCACCTAATCTGCCCTTCCTCCAAACCTAGCACCTCCCCCACACATTCTGATCAGCTCCCTCTGACCCCACATGGATGATGTGCATCTTAACTATTTATTTTCTGGTGTTTTCAGATGTTTAAACATGTATTACCTTCAGTCCCCACACCTCATATGGAGGGGCAAGGTGAGGGGCTCAGACCCCTGCAGGGGGGTAGAGGTTCCCTACATCCTAAAGTACACATACCGAAGAGGAAAATTCAGGGCTGACCGTCCCCCCTCCCTCCCAAATTCCTCTGCTACTCCTCATTCTCCAACCTATTCCTAATCTCTACTTCTTCCCCCTTAACATGAGCCCTCCCCAACCCCTCTTCTCTCCCCAACCTCTCATTTCCATTTATTCTTCTCCCCATAATACCCCTATCCCTCACTTCAGGCCTAAATCCTCTCTCCTACGACCACCTACTCTTTTACCCCTCCCCTTTCAGTGAGCATTCACACGTGTAATTTATTTTCTATTCAACTTTCTAGGGAAAGACTGAGATGGGGGTCCAGTTTGTAAGAAGAAATATCTGGAACTCTGAGCTACACAAACTCTGCATCCTGCCTAACTCAACATTTAAGGCAAGAAATTACATTTTGTAACCCATTTCTTTAGTGAATCAAGTTTAGTTTGCATGTTTTGTTTTATTTGCTTAGTAATCTGCTTTGTTCTGTTTACTATCCCTGTATCACTTTAAAAATCCACCTTTTATAGTTAATAAATTTGTTTGGTTTATTATTAAGCCCCATTTGTGCAATTTCTAACGGGTGGGGGGGGGGGGGAGAAGTTGTGCAGATCTTCCTCCACATTGAGGGAGGTGGAATTTATGAGCTCATTGTATACATTTCCCTACAGCGCAAGACAGTATTATTTGGGGTTTATTCTCCAAAAGGGGTGTACATGTGAGTGCTGGGTGAATCCTCTCACACAGCACTGACTTCAGTCTGTGTCTGCAGCGGGGTGTGGCCCTGCCTGTGTCCGTGTGCTAGAGAAGGCTTAAGAGTCGGGCTCAGCAAGACAGGTTAAAGGGGGCCCATGCTGGCAGAACAGGTGGGCTCAGTGGTGTATCAGCACATCAAGTGGCACCTTGAAAGGGGGCAATCTGTCAAACTCAGATTTCTGCCCAGGGTGGGTTTCAAACTTAGGCCATGTCCACACATACAGTACTACAGGTGCATCACTGCAGTGTGTCTGGTGAAGACGCTTTACGCCAATGGGGGAGAGCTCTCCCATTGGCATTAAAAAAAACACGCCTGCGAACGACAAACTGTCAGCAGGGAGAAGCTCTCCTGCCAACATTGCACTGTGCACACTAGCGCTTATGTCGGTGTAACTTATGTCGCTCAGAGGGTGGAATAGTCATACCCCTGAGTGATGTAAGTTTTGCCAACATAGGTAGTAGCATAGACAGAGCTATTAATTGGCCCATTCATCTCAACAAGATGTTCTCAGCTGAGAGTACCTAATGGAAATGAATACAGCCTGAAACAATAACTCAGACTGAGAGCTGCTGCATTCACATCAGTGAGCGTTCCCTTTCTACCTTTCCCACTGCTGGCAAGTTCCAGATGTGTGCCAAGCATACCCACTCTCAGTTCCTCACCCCAGCAGCGTGTTCTTGGTGCATGCTCTGAGCATGTCTGTTCTAAGCTCCCCAACCAGAGATAGAGGGCTTCCCCAGATACTGGCTCACAAGGGGGATATGGGGAGGAGCTCAGACACTCCCACCAAGGGAAGCCCCACCCAGAACCTGGCTCATATGAAGGGGAGCAGGGATAGGGTCAGCCCCCTCATAGATGGATAGGGGTCCCCAGATCCTGGCATACGCATGGGGAGGGGGGCAGAGAGAGGGCTCAGACAACCCCAGAGGGCATGGACCTCTAGCTCCTAGCTCACATAAGGTGTAGGGAGTGGGGCTCAGACCCCCCCAAAGAAAAGCAAGTCCTCCCAAAGAATCTGGCTCACGGGGGGGGGGGGGGGAGAGATGGGGAGTCATAGCTCATATATGGGCACGGGTCCCCCAGATCCCAGCTCACATATGGGGCAAGGAGCAGAGCAGGGACCCCCGCAGATCTCAGATCGCATGGTGGGGTAGGGATAGGGGCTCAGGAGCCTGCAGAACCTGGCTCACATGAAGCGGGGAACAGACTGCCATAGATGGGCAGCCCCACCCCCCCAAGCATGGCACAGACAAGGGGCAGGAAGCAGGGGCTCAGACATTCCCCTACAGGCAAGCCTCCTCCAAAACCTGGCTCATATGGGAGGGGGTCAAATACCATGCGATCTGTAGATGGACTGCAGACCAGAGGACAGCGCGCGCACGCACACACGCACTCTCTCCTGGGGGAATTCTGCACCACTGTGCACATGCAGAATTTATGTCCCCCGCAGTTTTCTTTGCTTCCCCACAGAAAAATGACTTTGACAGGGAAGCCACGGGAAACCACATGAACAGTCATGCGATCCTCCCCAGCAATACGTTTCGGGTGTCCAGGGCAGCCGGCAGAGAGATAAATCGCTGTGGGGCGGGACTGGGAAAAGACTCAGCTGGTGGCTCCTATCCGGTGCCGGGCTCAGTTGCTAGTTCCAACTGGGTGGGGGAGGACAGGACTTCCTCTTTCCCAGCACAGCATCTGGGGCTGTGTCAGACCCACTCCCAGATTTCTCCCCCACATGTAGGAAGCTCTGCAAACTCTACTCCCTTCCCCCTCCCCATCGCTCCTCAGCTGCAGGGGGAAGGATCACTGTACAAGGAGCTGCTCCCCCATCTACCCAACCCTCCCACATTCAGACACTCCCCCTGAACTACCCTAATGAGCCACCCACACCTAGATCCCCACCCCACCAACCCCACACTGCACCTAGATCCCCACCCCACTGAGCCCCACTCTCCCAGCCTCCAGACCCCTCGCTGAGCCCCCCCCACACCCATAGCCCTCTGCCAAGCTCTATCCTCCCCACACCCAGACCCCCTTTCCCTCCTGAGCCCTAACCACCTTCACCTGGACCCCCCTGCAGAGTCCCATTACCACTGCACCCAGAATCCCCCCAACAAGCCCCTGTGCATCTAGCTCCCCCCCCCACTGAACCCTCTCAACCCACATCTAGATCTCCCCCCCCCCCCCAAGCTCCTCCACACTTGGATCCTGCCTTGCTGAGCCTGCCTGCTCATACCTGGCACAGAAAGGCAGGGCCCTGGGGTGTTTCTGGGGCAGGTCGTCCTTGCACTGTGTCAGGATTGGTTGCGGCCTCGCTGCTGAGTCTGGGTCCTGGGGGGGCAAAGGGGAGCTGCACAATGATCTCGCACTTCTGTGCAGCCAGTGGCCTGTGCTCCCCAATGCCATGCTGGAGCCTCCACATTTATTTGACAAATAAAAGTTGTAGAATTTTTAGGCACAGAATGCCCTCAGGAGTAACACAGAGCAGGGGAATATGGGGCTGACGTGCCCCTGCCCCTATTCTCTCCCAGCTCTCCGGGCACTCGCTCCCTTGTCCCCCTTCCCACTCTCCTCTCTCCCCCTTCACCTACTCTTCCACCCAATCACGCTCCCCTCCCAGTAAGCATTTGCTTGCATCGTTTTCTTGTTTTAAAATAGTTTCAGTACTTTCTGAATATTCTGCTGTAGTCAGATTACATTTCTCCAAAATACCCCCCAAAGCCCCCCCCCCCCGACGAGAGGCAGACTGGAGCAGCATACCTACTTTTCTGCCCTGGCTTGGATTTGACCCCTCAGTGCCTTGGATGGTGCTCAGACTCAATGAACTTAAAACATCCTCAGAGCCCCCAGCCCCTGTGACACAGGTTAGTTTTCCAGATAGATTACAGTGAGCATGTACATCTGTTTGTGTGCCTGATAACTGGAGAAGCAAACTCCTTTTGAAAAAAGATTTTAATTGGATGTTCTCCAAACGGCTGATGGGTGCCATGCACTCTATTAGGATAACCTTTGAGGTCACAGTGCAATGAGCTGAGCCCTGGTTTGAGCTCTATCAGTGAGCAAAGATAGGTTGCCAGAACCTGTCAACTTCAACCAAAACTTCTTTTTCCCTAGGTGCTGTATTTCTGGAACCCTTTGGTCAAATGCCCCCAAATTTGGATCACTAAAATAACCCAAGCCCTCAAGAGGCATGCCAACTTTCAAGTCAATCCATGTAACCATGTAGATTTCAGAGCACTTAGAATTGAGCTTTAAACAGAAAAAGTTGGTCTTAATCTTAACTATAGCAGAGCTCTCACTCTGCTGTAATGTTAAATGGAAGAGGCTATTAGGGATATTTTACCTATGAGGGATGCATATGCATGGGAGAAAGTTTATAACCTTCCCTTCACTCTCAATAAAACCAATAAATTATATGCAACCTTGAACATTAGACGCTGTTTTGTTGAGAATACGTTGGCTGAGAGACCTGGATTATGCCCGTCTCAGAGTGTTATGAATCTTCAGCGTAGATCTGGTCAGCCAGTTATGACGACAAGAGAAAGCAGTTGTGAACGAAGTGGCAATAGCTCCCTGAAAGCACCAATGCTCCTTCTTCCATGGTGGCCCCTAATGCAGCCAGGCTTCAGAACAGTTCACACATACTAGGCTACACTCAGAAGTAGCCTACATGCTCAAGATCTCTTTCCTACTCCTATATTTTCAGGTCAGCTGCAATCCAGCCTCATTCCAGAGAGTTACTTACAGCCCTTCCTCAGTCTTCCAGCTGCTCATAGCCCTTTAGTGAATGAGAGCAACTCTGAGTGGAAAGGTTGGTGTGGGAAGGGGTAGAGAAAGGAAAATGAGAGGGGGAAAAGGTAATAAAGTATAGATGAAGGTAATTATGCTAGCGTATGACCCAAGAAACATGGTGGTATCTGTCAATTCACTGTAAGGGGACCCCAATAAAAGTAGTATGGAGTTGGATTAGAACCTGGAAAGGGATGATCTGCAGCCTAATTGCATTAGGTTTCCTGTGACTAAACTAGCAATTTGTAGTTTCTGTGGGGTAGGGAGAAATATTTACCATATTAGCAAAAAATGGTATACCAGGTCAGCTGCTGACAAGAATTTTGATGACTTTGCTGAGATAGGTGGAATCTTGTTCACATATAGATGTCTAAATATGGAGTGGCACATTTGTATTAATATACAGAGGGCAAAACTAAACTGATTCAGATCAGTTTTTATGACAGTAACGTTTTACTACATTAACCTTACAGATTCCTATTTTTAATACATGGATGCATAAGCCACTGCTGAGTTCATAACTAGTAGCCAAAATTCCATAATTTACTAATGTTCTATTCTTTATTTTACCCAAAGGAAATCTAAACCAAATATCAACCTCCCCATATAATGCCAGCAAACTGTCTTAGGCAGTTATTCTACATCCATATTAAAACATGTAAATTCTTACTAAATGGGACAGGGTGATTTTATTTACCCAAAAGGTATACAAAAATGTTAGACTAGCAGAAACCAGCACAGTGACATTTCTGACTACTTGCTTGGTTTCATGAAACAAGATAAATGAATTACAGGGAGGATAATTTTATCACCTATATAGGTAAAATTCTGAAAAATATGGCAAGTCACATTCTTTAGTAGTCTACAGCCTGCCCACTTAACTGTACTTGTTCCCTTTAAAAAATTAACAGTACATCACAAACAGGAAGTGAAATGAGCAAAAATAAACTTGAATAGATTAGGAGTCAAAGCACAGATTTACACATATACCGCCTTGCTCCGAGTGCACAATAAATAGTGCTGGGATCCTGGTTTATTGCCCAACTAGCAGAAATCACAATCTCATGAATACACCAAGAATGGCAGACTGTGTTAGGATTTTCCTAAAGCAAAAGAGTCATCTTGTGTTTGGAACCCTCAAAGTCATCGTTCATATTTAGCTAGACAATAGCAGGCTAAGCATTTAGCATAATGGGAAAGGAAAAAGTGAACACAAGAAAACAAACCAGTCACTTGAGAAATAGTTAAATCTCAGTTCCTAACATCATAAGGTGAAACATTTAATTCTAACATGAGTCAAACTGAAAGTACCTTGTTCTGTTATCTTGAAGTCAAGAGCCAAATCAACAGCAACGAGAAGACCACAGCCTATTATGGGTCAAGCAGAATGGGATGCTGTAGTTTATCTGTTAGACTGTTTAGCTGTAGAATCAGTCAGTGTCAACTTTATCAGGACTTTAATACCCAGGATTAAGAAACTGGGTGGGATACAGTGTTCAGATTCACACCCACAGTTAGCCTTTTCACATGTATTGAGATGTTTTTCTAAACAAGGACTGAAATAGAGACGATTCAGTCAAAGCAGGAAAGATAAACTACTTCAGTTTAATATAGAGGGCAAGCCTGTGAGTTAGAAAAATGCTGTATTACATTTTGAATCTTTCATACAGAAGCACGCCATGCAAAATATACAAGGCCATACGCTCTACATCCTACTTGCAACTGCAGTGCTTCATAACACTTTGGAGGGGGGCCGGGGGACAAAACAAAAAAAACCCACACCCTCTGCCTTCTAGCGTAAGGTATTCTTAAAGAAAATCTGTAGAAGGTCCCTTTAATCTCACTTGTGAATCAAGCAACATGCTAAATCAGCAGCAGTACGTAAACTTTAAAGTTACAAGTTACTCTTTTTCTACATTGAAGGACTAAACTCTTGAAGTTTTCATTTCAGTTATTCAAGCTTCCGGGCAATCTCCTTTCTGGTCCTTCAAGGAAAAATATGGTATAAAGCCATTTAAAACATTTACTAGATCACCAAATCTCAGATCAGTCCTTGTTGAATAAGCAACTATTACCAATTAAAATCTCTTTCTGTGATAGAAAGACAAGCCTTTATCAGGTAACCACAGAGAGCCTAGTTTTATGCTTACTACAATAATCTCTATTCTGAAAATACGGAAATCTAGGCTGAATAGTTGAAACCAGTTACCTTGGCTGTAGCCAAGTAAACTGGACACTTGCCATCATTGTCTGGTTCTGATGTCAGCTTTACACTGCAGTGCTGACAGCCTGACATTTTGAATGCAAACATCACAACTTTCTAATTCCAAGTGAGAACCAGTGTTAACAAGTCTCACTTTAGAAGTTCTATAATCTACTTTTACACCCAAATTAGAAAGGCAACTACTGTACTGATTTTACAGCATGAACAATCTAGAAAATAAATCCCAGTAGATAAGAGTTAGAACTGTGCTAAACAAGGAATATATCACATACCATATCATTAATATAAAATAAAGCAAACATGGAAATCACCTGGTTAATCTGGAGCAGAGAAATAAGACTATTTAAATTGTACTTTTTTCCAAGAGTCGCTATTAAAGCGTTAAAATGGATTAGCTTTATTATTTTAGAACAAGGGCTAGTTGCCCAATAAAGACAAGGTTAACTTAGAAATCAGAGGTTTCAGAGTAGCAGCCGTGTTAGTCTGTATCCGCAAAAAGAAGAACAGGATGCATCCGAAGAAGTGGGCTGTAGTCCACGAAAGCTTTTGCTCTAATAAATTTGTTAGTCTCTAAGGTGCCACAAGTACTCCTGTTCTTTTTTAGAAATCAGAAAGGGTCAGCCTTTGCAGATGCAAAGATAATTTGCTGAAACACTCCATGAGCTTTAGCTAGTGTAGATAAGAGGGGCAGCTCTAAGTAAATGATGGTTAATCCCCTCCCTCTACAGCACATTAAGGACAACAATATCAGAGGAGGCAAAGGACTTCTCCCGTTTAAGCTGAAGTGATCTAAAAAAGTATCTCCATACTACCACTCGGATATGGCTCTCCCCCGAGGTACTGAACTGTATTAGAGAGCATGTCATTTAAAGAGCCTGAAGCTCAGTACACAGATCAGGAGTGAAAGGTTCCTTAAAGAATGTAAAGTCTGAAGAAAACATTTGCTTAGTAACATTACATTCTTAGAAAGCTTAATTTCTTCTTATTTAGAAGAAAACTTATTTAGTACAATTTCTAATTTGAGAAGAGTTGTGCTAGTAGCACACGAAAGGAATAACCAAACGATTTTTAAAAATGCATAACAGCTAGTCAACGGAAAAGTAGAGACAAATGCAATTTAGTGAAGAGGCAGCTCGGCAAATAACTAAGAAGGGCAATGTCTTATTGATCTAACCTAGGTATGCACAGAAAACTCTCATTCACATTGGAGTGTTTGTCCATTTAAAAAAAAAAAAAAGAACAGGATGAGGCTTAATTTGACTCTAGAGCAGTGGTTCCCAAACTTCAACAACCTGTGAACCCCTTTCACTAGAAAGTCAAGTCTCGCGAATCCCCTCCTAAAAATGAATATTTCCAGGGATTTTCTCCTTTATCAAGTATAAATTATAAAAACAGTGATCTGGGAAATATAAAATTGGTTTTTAGGACATGCATATTATACACTATTATTATTTATCATTACAGTATTTTTATTACATTATGAAAATGGCACCACTCTTCCAAGATCTCACTTTCGTAGCTTGTATCATTTTGAATAAGCCTGTTATAAGACAAGGTTCCTATGTTTCATCAAGGAGTATCAGATGTGAAACATCATGAAGGTATTTAAGAAGCCAACTCAAAGAGTTCCTCCTACACAAGCATTCAGGTCTTGAGCAGTCCAGGCAGACAATGCACATTACAACAAAGCTTAAACTTGTTCTTCATAATTTTAAAAAATACTAGCTGCTTATTTAATTTTAAAAACAGCAAAAAAATATCCACCTCCCTTTCCATTTCTTATAAGGAGTTTTGAAGTTTAAATCTCCTCAGTGTGATAGCTATGCTTGCTTTGATCTGCTTAGCTCTTGGAAGTCCAGGGGCTCCGGGCTGCTGGCCCCGTGCTGCCTAGGGTCCCTAGCGACAGCTCTGTCCGCCATTATGGAATTTCCCCCCCCAGAACCTCCAGTAACATTTCATGAACCCCCAGGGGGTCACGAACCTCAGTTGGGGAACCACTGCACTAGAGTCTACCTGCCGTGTGTGTCTGTTATAACAGGTGTCAACTATTTAAATCTTCTGCACATAGGCAGGATAGCAAACATCTCAAATTGTAAAGAAACAGGGTAGCATCCAGAGTTATCAATTGTGACAAATACAACTTGATAAGAGTTTGGTAAACAGCTCCCAATAAAAGCCTTCTATGTGCATTTTTTATTAGTCTCTAACATTTTATAAAGAAAACTAACTTTCCAATCTCTTTCAAGTAAATAACTTGTCTGACAGTGAGCTCCTCTAATCACCTATTATTCTAATATTCTTAACTCAAATATGTTCAATGAAAAACAAAAAGATACAACCATTACCTTGCAGCAAGGGTAGGCAAACTTCATTTAAAAAAAAATGCTTTAATGAAATACTGTGAGTGAAACTCAATGCACAAATCAGAAAATCCTAAATTATGGTTCCCACAGTAACCAGAACCTCCCTGGCCTGCCTGTATTTGTATTAAGTTGGGCTGTGACTTACTACGTGCAATGAAGCCAAGTAGCAGCAGCTGTATTAACCACAACTGAATTTCCTGACAACAGCTGCTATGTGACCACGTTGCATGTATTAAAACACAAATTTAACAGCATACAGTAATACTAAGTACAGGATAGCAGAATTCTGGTCACTGTGGGAACCATAGCCTTGAATTTCCTGATTTGTGCATTTAAAGTTTCACTCATCGTATTGCATTAAAAGAGATTCTGAAAATTAAGTGCATTTGCTTTTGTAAAAAAGAGTGCGTCTGAAAACTGGGGCTCACACTGCAAGTATCACAAGTGTATACGAACTGGAACAAGGAGACCAAAGTCATCTTCATTTTGATTCAAATCCTCCAACATTCATCGGGAAAATGACTGTATCTTAAACATTTAATCCGGTCTCATTCCCAAATACAAAGGTAATGAGAGAGTGCATGGGTCTACAGCAACAGGATGAAGTCCAAACTGCTGCTGTTGCATCTTTCTTTACTCTTTGCTCCCAGCATTGGGAACAAGCAATACAGTGTTATGCCTGCTCTTCTGAAAAGAAAAATATTAATGCCAATTTCAAGACATGAACACAATCCACCATATAGTATAGTAATACAGTAAAGCCTACAACCCCCATTATGGTAGGTGCTGCTATATAGACATTGTAAAAATTGGTCAGGAACCAGCAAAACCAAACTCTCCAAGCTCCAGAAAGACAGTCACACAGGCTTAAACTTTCATATTTGAAAAGTCCTAGATTCATGGAAACTGAATGATTCCAATACATTACTTCACCACCACACAAACTTTTTAAAGTTTAAAAAAAGATTTTCTCGGCCTAAAGGCATGTTATTTAACAAGTCATGTTCTGTTCTGCAATGTGTAATTCAGTTTCTGATCCAGTCTCCCGCTTTCTAGTTTGGCATCACTCAATAGCAACCTCTGACTGCATAAGGAGAAGCTAACAGGCTCTCTACATCCTTTGCCAGAAGTAAGGCAAAAAACAATGGACTTTGAAAGGTGTTTGGAAAGGGCGTGGGGGGAAAATGGATTGACACTCGGAGCTTCAACAGGAATTCCGAGAACCCCTCAGGGTGGAAAGAGAAGGGCTTAAGCCAACAATTTCTGCAGATTTCAGGCTTTCATTTTTAAAAAGTTAAATTCCTAGCTCTTATGTTTGCAAATAAGACCAGCTGTAGTGCCATCTTCCCAAACCTGCTGGGATGGCTCCGGTGTCTACTGTTGTTCATAGCTTTACCAAGAAACAGTACGAAGATAACAAAACTCTGGACAGTTTCAGTGCCAATATTCAGAATGCTGTGAGCAGCAATCCAGAATTAAATCACTTTCACACTCCTAACGCTGCTTGGGAAAGCTATGAACAGAGACAGACACTGGAGTTATTCAAGAAGGAATGAAAAAACAAAGGTTGAGAAACAGTGGTGACACCCCTGCTTTCACAGCAGCCAGGAACTCAGCAATAGGAAGACAAGACAGAAAACTCCTCCCTTCTAGCAGCTAGGGAAGGGCTTCAGGTAAGATGCTTACTAGCCGCAACCTGATGCAAATAATGGAGTTTCCCTCCTTCCAGCAGTGTCCAGGGACAGCACACTTACCAGCAGCTGATGTGGTAGAAGGGCCTTGGCTTCTCACTAGGCTTTCCCCCACTCCAATAACTCACTGGTGAACGCCCTACCCTTTGTATTTAACTCTGGCTAGTAGGTTTTGGATAAATTTTACAAGTCCTGAACTATTCTCCCCCCTCCCCAGAAGTCATCCCTCAAAATCAGGATTGAAATACAACAACAGAGTGTGCAGGGGAAACTTTTAACTGCTATTGGGTATGCTGTACCTGTTCTGTGGACAAGTAGGACTTCAGTTTCCAGTGCTGTCAATCTGGCACCTTTCATGATCACTGATTTGAAGAAGAAAAAAAGAACAGAGAGGTTAGCATATGCTACCATTAACACTGTTATAAAGCAGTGGAAAAAGCCTGCTGTTATGTTTCTCTGCAGTTTTGTAGTTCCTGCATTACATCAGCCCCCAGTTTGAGTAACAACCAAAAAAGTTGCATGGTTACTTCTTCTGGTTCTTGATAGGCTAAAGGCACAAGAGAATCAACAAAATGTTGGCCTCCACATTCATATTTTTGCTTAATGATATGAATTTACAAAACCTGCTATGAAGATTATTAAAATTAAAAAATATAAACTAAAAAATTAACACAGATTTTTGGATTTAAACATTCCCCTAGAGCAGTGGTTCCCAAACTTTAACAGCCCGTGAACCCCTTTCACTAAATTGTGAAATCTCATGAACCCTCTCCTAAAAATGAATATTTTCAGGGATTTAAGTTTAAATTTCCTCAGTGTGATGGATGCCCCAACTGCCGGGCCCCGGAATCTATGAACCTCTGAAAAATATTTTTAATTGAAACTTTTTTTAACGAACATAGAAAAACTAGAGACCAAAAATATTTCTGTAGAATGTTTTTTGGCTTTTGTTTTAAAAAAAGGTTTTTTAATAAAAATAAAAATAAAAATA